TTCTATTTCCATTAAAACTTTCCTCACCCTTTATCTGTAATAAAAATTCCAGTCTCTGTCTGCTGCCTTTGCCTCTCCCAAACAAACATCAAAGGAGTGAGATCAGATTATAACCTTTCTCATTCTCTCCATTGTACAAATGGCAGTTGGTGAAGAGAGTGTTTACTTTGTCTGAGCTTACCTAATAAATACAGCACAATTTGCATGGCATGTTTTTCCAATTTACATTCCTTTGCTGGTATCACTAGGTTGTGCTGCTGCACCTCTATGAATCAACTCTTCAGGCCCAGTTACCTGGGGATAAGGTCTTTGCCCATCTCAGCTTGGTTGGCTCTACTCTTGCCTGGCAGCACTGACTGAGAGTGTGGGTTGAGAAAGCTCACCTTTGTGGAACCCAGTGCAGGGATGCAGCTTGAAAAATTAATTATGCCCCCGTCTGCTTTCTGGCTAGGCAGCCAGTACTTTCTGTAGTCTTTACTTCTGCAGTCTTCCCATAAGGAAGTAGAGCATCTGAAGAAGATGCCAGCCAGTGGAAAAGGTATTGAATTGTGAAGAGAAAAACATCTCTCTCATTCTTTTGAATACTTAAGGATTTCACTGTATTGCTGTATTTTTATAAAGCATTAGAAGCATTAAAAAGCAGCCTTTCTGCCATTCATGTTGCTAACCCTTTGCTTTAGTTGCAAATTATGTTATGTTGTTACGATTTCATACAGAACATCAAATTTGAAATGTTATTTTAAGATAGATGTTGTAACTGAATAGGTTTAATGTTCCTTAACAGTAGCTGAAGCATTTTAGTGCAAGGATTATTTGGAAATAGCACTAATATAGATTTAATAGGTCATCTGATTGTCTGTATTAAGTAGAAATAATACAATTTAGCAAATACAGAATGAATATTTAAGTGTTAAGTGTCCAAATAGGATATTTCAGAACCATGATTAAGGGATCGAATATTGAAAGAAGCCTTTGTATTTACTGTGGTAGATACTGTGCATCTATTTGGATCCTGTCTTAATATTCTGTGTTTCTAGCATCACCATTTGTTCACTCAATTGTTTAAGAAAAAAAAGTTTGTTTCACATGCATTGTAATAAATTGTTATTTGGTCCAAGTAATAAGTAGGCTGTGGAGTAAACACATGTATAAAATCTGAATGTAAACTGAACGTGACTACAAAAATAACAAAAAAAACCCAACAGATATAAAGTGATATATACAGAATCCGAAAGGACAAGGTGATAGCATACCAGTGTTAAATAGATACTTTAACACAACTGAATCAGCTTTTTCACTATGGAGCTGGGAGTGCTATCATGAATGGATATCTCTGAATTTTATCTCTTAGCTAGTTTTATAGTTCTAATTTGCTCAAAGAATGCATCAAATCAGATGGTAGTTCAATTCACACCGCTATTAACTACATTATTGTTAATGAGCATTGTTAAAAACAATTGCAAGGAGTGGAAATTGTGCAATGCAAGGCTATTTCAAGAAGCATTTCTTTAATTACTTTCCTAGTTTATGCACTTAAACCATTATGTGGAAAAAAACTTTTAATTTTTAATTTGCTTTCAGCTATTAGACATAAAACTATCCAAAAAAGTGCAGTAAAATGAATGAGTCTGAAATCTGTTCAGCACTCTATAAACATCAAAACTTAACCTTGTATCTATATAGTAACACTAACCCTGTTTTCCTGTGTAATTTGCTGCGTGCTGACATCTTTTCAATACCTACAGATCTGCAAAAAAAGGAGAACTTAAAGTTGCATGGTAGTTGCCTTGTATTTTATGCAGTGAAACACTTGGAGTAACTCTGGACCCTGTGATTTGTATGCAGCACGATCATGAGCTTCCAAGTGATTTCTCTTACTAAGCCTAGACATGTGGTTCACTGTTATGTCAGAAGCCTGAGCAAGGCTACATCCCTGTTGAATATACTCACTGAATAATGCTTTTATATGGCCAGAGAACTCTTGATATGAAAAACAGTGAAAAATATGATGGAAGAAAAGATGAAAGGTGAATGGGTATATTGAGGAGACCCCATAGCTAGGCCTTATGCTTTCCTTCTTAGTTTTATAGTTCTGAATCATTTATTGAATCTGTGTGCGTAGTTTAGTTCTGCAGATACTCTGCTGTAGAAATACATGGATACTGTTGCTGGTTACCATGAAGCGTATTGGAAATGTTATTACACCAACATACTCAGTATGAGGAACGTGCAAGAGCTGCTAGAAGTCTTGGTTCAGTCCCAGAGCTACTACATCCTTGGCATAAGTGAAACCTACTGGGAAGAGTCCTGTGGCTGGTGTGTTGTGGTGGATGGTTCTTGTTGGTGGCAAATGTCCCTTGGCAGACCAAAGGTTTGGGGGAAATAGAAGCATAGTCTTAAAATAAAAAAAAGATCTGTAGTTGCTATTAGCATTTTTAATAGATTGCTGCAAACGCTCAACCTGTATAAGCTGCAATTTGATTTATCCCCAGGGTAGTAAGGAAACTCTTAAGTACATCTTCTTTTGTTCAGAGATTTGAAGGTGCATCTTTTATTTTTTTCAGCTCAAAAAAAAAGTCATTTAAATGTCACTGTAGTTAGGTATTCTACCTAGTAAAACTTTTATGCTGCTAACCGTTTTGCAAATTTCATTAAGAGATATACTTTTGTATGCTTTTCCAAGCTGTATTGGTTATTGTAAATGTTGGTTATTACAAGATGTTTTCCTAATCCAACATTTCTCAAAAATCTGCAAACAGAAAGAGAATGATTTTTCCCCGTTCAAGTAAATGCTGCCTTTGGTTGGAAAATTCCTGTTGCCCAGCACCTTCTGGATGACCAAAACCACTGTGCAAACAAGCACAATGTAATTACTTTCATCAGACAATATCTTGTCCTAAACTTAATCAGCTGAACAGCATCTCTCCCTGCAGGCAGCACATGGGAAGGTACTTCCTTCTGCTTATTTTTAAATCTTGCTTATTGGCAAAAGCTTTCCTCTTGCTCAGTGCTATATTGAATTCCTCCACCTTCCTTTGTCCTCCTGTTTGGACCTCACATCATGTCTCAGACTGGTTCTGCATTGTTTTTCCAGCAGCATGATGCAGACAGACTGCGGCATGGAAATAAAAGCAGGAGCCTGTTTTCATTCTGTTTGAAGACATATGTCTGCCAGCTTGTGCCACGTTTCCTCTCTCTTGAATCTAGTAGAACGGTGAGCCATGCAAACAGCAGACATCGCCATCACTGGCAACTGTGACTGAAAGCAGGAATTCACACTCATGTCACACTCCACTGGAGGCTTTAGTACTAAACAAATGTGGAAGATTGTTCAACTTTCATAGAAGTCAAAATTGTTTGGCTCAGTGTGCTGTGCTGGAGAAGATAGGGAAGGAAACCAGGATCCTTTGCTATCTGTCATCTGACTGTTAGATAATCTCTTATTGGAGCAGTCAGGGCTGTTTTATCTAATTAGATACACACATTTAAATATAGAGAAAAAAAACAACTTCTAGAACACTGAATGTTATATTTAGATTATAAAATCAAACCTGTGGTTATCTGTAAAGACTAGATGCCTCCCAACTCATTGCTGTCTTTTGTCTTCCTCCCTGACACTGTCTTTATATTACTGCCTGTTTAATTTTTCATGGCCTGTATGTAACACCACCGCTTAGGATAGGAACAAGAAACTGTTGGATATCTTCTGCTTTAAGGGATGTTAAGCAAGCAAAATACAGGTCACCCAAGCAGCTTTCTTGTTAGCTACAAGTGTTGTGTAATTTGATGTTCTTGGTGATATCAAAGAAAGATCACTGGAAAGAGTCTATTATGGAAGCTTCCATGTCATTTCAAGTCTTGTGCTCCTTGCGGAGATCCAAGGGAGAGGATGGAATCTGACAGTTTTGGTTTTTTTCCATGGTCCCTCTCTATTGTGGACCAAAATCACACTTCCTGAGGAGCTGCTGACCTGGGACAGTATCAGCATGCTTCCTGACTGATCACTTATTCTGCTTCTTGCTTCCTTTCCTTCCACCTGCAGGCTGTGCTGAGAACTTGAGGACTACGTTATTTAGGCCTGATGTGATACCAAACAATAAGATGGCTTAGCACAGTACAGTTTTTGCATAAAGTAATTCAAGGGAACTGACTTGAGTACATAAAACATACAGAAAGTTTAGACAGTATGGTAAGAATGAGTGGAAGGAAAATACTGGAATAGCTGTAGAACTTTCCTAAAATGTGTTTTGCAGTCTGTCTGATGGAGCTTGCTATGTCCTTAGAGTTGTGACTAGGAGAAGGCATTTCTGTTGCAGCTTAGAGGGCTTTTTTCCTTTGCTGTCCCTGTTTTAAAGAATTTAATTTCAGTTGGGATGCCCCTAGAATAACCGAATGCTGTGGTACTGTTTGGTATTTGACATAATTTTGTATGAAAAGATCTCCTCTTTGCACTATTGTAGTAAAACATGTTGTAATAATAGAAGGTGGTTAAATGCCAGAACAGAGCATATTTCAACTATGCAAGTCACATTTTAATTACTTTAAAATTGATCCTTATTTTTTCCTGCAAATGATTTGTTCAAATATGGATGGCCTATACTGAAAAAGCTGTATGGACAGGTACTTACAGATACTGGCTCACGATATGTTCAGAGATGAGCATCAGATTTGGTGGTAAACATACTGCTTTGTGTACAAAGGTTTTTTAACAAGTGCAGTTTAGAAATTTGCCAAGATTTGCTGAGACTGCATCTCAAGCATTTCCTTTCTTAATTCAAGTAACCCTTTCCAGGATTCAGCTATCTCGATATCATTCATAATCTGAGTATGACACTCATTAGGTCCAGATTGCAGAAGGCATGTTAGCTGTGTGGGCTCCATCTGCTTAGCTGATTTTAGATAAAATGTTGCGTCTGACACAATCTGTACACTATTTTGGAATAACAGGCACTGAAAGTATGAGCATGAAATATTACTAAAGGTGTATTTTTAAACCACAGGCTGGGCGATGCAGGTTGCTGCCTTTATTTTCATTCAGAGAAAATGGGAAGATGACAAGAGTCACTTTGAAAAAATGCTGCATTATTTCTGTGACATTCATGAGCCACTACAACTCCTCATCTTTCCGGAAGGAACTGATCTCACAGGTAGGATAAATTTGTTGTTGTTTTGTGTAGTGATTGATATGGAAATTCCTTGTTGTTTATGGAAATAATTGATAAAAAACATCAAAGCTGGGAGCAATACTACATTCTCTGACAGTAGAAAATGTAGTTAACAATCTTGATGTGCTGATGTACCCAAGAAACACAGGCATGGTTTCACAAAGAGGTTTAACCAGTCTTCCAGAAATAACTGTTATGTTTCAAAAGCATCCCATAATTGAAAGAGCTTAACATTGGTCAATTCCACCTTTGTATTGTATTGTAAAAATAGTTTACAAGACGTGGAATAAATTACTTTTATGTTCCTATTTTCCATGTGACTGGGATGAACAGTGCTAAATTGTGAAAGGTGATTGAAGATGAGAGCTAATGATTCTATTACATTTCTTGCTTCATGTTTTAAGAGGAGAAAATGGATATGCTTCTTCATTAGGCCATGTTAGCTGCCTGTATCTGCATCTAAAAGAAAAAATGTTTCCTGAAAACAAATGTCAGTGTTGTTGTTGTAAATTTAATGAGTTAAGTGTTTGCTTAATTCTTAGTAAAAATATCTGTGTTAATGCAGGTGTATTGTGTAGCATCAATAGCAAGCTGCTAACTGCTGCTGAAAAAGACTCAAATGCCAATAAAAGAAAGCATTTTATGAATGTTCTGTGGTTCTTTATGCCTGCAGCACTATTTGATAAGCATCATTTTTAAAACAGAAAACCAATTACAACTAGACTTTTACCTTTGAGCTTATTTTAGACCTTTACTACACTTTCCTTTGCAGATATTCTCAAATCATGCCTTATTGCAATGTCTGATCAGTAAATACTAGGCATGGTGTGAAAATAAATAATGTAAACTGCTGCTTTCTTCTTCATGTTCCCAGTATCCTTAAACTTGGATATGTAATGTTCAGATGGTATCACATTGTAGGGAGTTGTTGTCACTCGATCCTCCTTCCTAAAGGAGGATAGATCATTAAACATTCTTGGACTGCATCACATGATATCTTTTGCTGAATTAGTAATTGTATATCTAAAATTAGGAAGGGGGATGGAAACTATCTCAATTTTTTTTCTTTGAATTCATGACTACCTGTCTTCTGGTTGTTCTGAGTTAAGACAAATTCTTAATTGTACTTGAAGTGTCAGAAAACGTCTCCTTGGGTCACCCAGGTGTTTCCATTCCAAGACGGTTAAAGAGAATTGGGTTGTTCATAATTTACCCACAAATCGTGTATGTCTTCCAATCTCTCCCAGTATTCCTCAGAAATAACAGATTTTAAAGGACTGAAGAAGTTCCTTATTACAATTTTAAATAAGAGCTAGCCGAGGACTAAGGCAGCAGCAGGATGTTAGCAGTTGTGCTGTGGAGTCCCGAAGGCAGTGGTGGGAATGTTCCCCACCTAAACGTGAAGTTCCATGAGGCAGCAGAAGGTTGTCTCTTCTCCACTGTAATTGGTTATAAACAACTTTGCCTAAATTTAAGTATATGCTGTTGATACCATCAAGAAGTTGATGCGGGTGTGATTCTTTTGTTGCTCTAGTTGTCCTTTCTCATGCTCGTGTAATGCATGTTCCTCTTTCCTTGCAGCATCAAATAGATGTCTGCACTGTGTTTACTCTGTTCTCCTGGTAGCTTCAGCTACCACTGATTGATGGTGATAATTTCTCCCCAGTCCACTGAGCATCCCAGGGAGGAAGCAGTGTGGTACGTGTACTCCACTGGAAAGGAGGAGTATTGCTGGGCAGCTCTTCACTACTGTAATTCTTATTCTCTCAAGCCACCTGGCAGCGATAGATTTACTCTTCTTGTATAATGTTTTCAAGTATTCAAGAATGAAAGATCTAAAAGAAACGCAAAGTATATGTGGTCTGCTGCCTGAACTCAAGTTGTTGAGGTACTTCGCATTGCAAGATGCAACTTAAGTAAGTTTAAAAAGTAGTAACGTCATTGAACTCTGAACAGTGTGTTTGCAAACTGTGTATAAAGTTGATGATTATTTCTGGTCGGTTGGTCATCTTTTCACTCTGGAGTACTTGAAGCTTAAAGCTAAATGCACAAAGGCATTTTATTGTAATTGTTTAAGAAGTCAGACTTTCTGAAGACTTGAAAAAAACAAACTACTAACGCAGCCCACCATTTTGCTCGTTGTTTTGTTTTTGTTGATGATCTGTGTAAGACTCTTGTAGTAATTTTCTACAAAGTAGTAAGAGAACAAAAAAAGTTGCTGTATTGTTCTGGGCCTGTTCTGTAGGATCCATTGCCTGTGGATTTGTCTGCATCCCTAAGCGTGGTTTCTTCTTTACTTCAATTTTTCCTTTTTCTTGAGTTTCCTTTTGAGTTTCCACATAACATTCCCACAAATCTTTCTTGCTGCTGTTTCTGCAGGAGGCAATCTGTGCTGTGGTTCTCCTCACCAGTAGTTGTGTTAACTGCTGCACGCTGTGCTGAAAGCCCCAACAGGCCCACTGCCTGCAGAGTATATGCCAGCTTTTCCCATTATTGAGACCTCTGCTGCTGGCAGTCCCCCTTTGTTCTGCCATTCGTTTTTCTGAAAACTCCTTTGGGCTTAACTATCTATGAATCTCTTCTCTATGCCAAACTGTGGTTCCACAGACTTTTTTTTTTTTTCCATAAGAAATAGCTTAAAAGCCAAACAAAAGTTGGAAAGTTCATTGATGCCAAAATGTAGGCAGTTGTGATGTGAAACAATATTTTATTTAGAAGGGGGCATAGTACTGTAGTACTTATCTCTTTTGTAGTAAATGTAGTAATGCACAAACCATTGTTCAGACACACTGGTAGATTTTAACAGGTAGTAGTTCAAAAACAGTGCAAGAAAGAACTGCTTAATTTTTTGTTAAAATGATAACTGTGAGCCAGTATAGCTATTACGCTCTCTATGCAAACTTCTGATAAATAGATGAATGAGAAATTGTTTAAAAAAGAGACTTTTGGACTACCCAGTTCTTCTTTCCCTGTCTGGTACTGGTGTCATTTGAGACTTGATGCCATAGGAATACATGTGTGCTTTTATCACACGCCTGATTAAAGGAAAAGGAAGTGCATGATATTCAAATTTAAGTGCTAGTGAAAAAGGAAGAAAAGAATTGAGAGTCAATCAGAAGCAGTTGTATTGAAGTTGTCTGACTTAACATTCCAGTAGGATGATGAGGGTAATGTATCATTCTTTTGGGTGATGTCCAGCAAAATGCATCAGCCTGGAAAATGCTGGATGTAAAAGCATGTGAGCTTTGTTCTTTTGAGGTGAATTCATGCTGCTTATGTGTTTTTTTGGGAAGCACAGACATACCTTCTTCTTTGGCACAGATTATGGAGCTGTAGTTCCAAATCTTTATATTAGCAAGTGCAGCTGGTTATTGTGTTATGGCTCCCTTCAGAGTCAAATTCTAGATGTTTTTGTTTTGATTCAAAACTACACCATAAATTATAATATGATTTAAAAAGATGAGGAGTTTGTTCACTTTTATTTCTCTGCATTTCATGGGTATAAAGCAATTTTAAGTTCCTGAAGTTTTATAACTTGAAGACAAAGGAAATAGATTAGCATAACGTCTTCCTCCAGTTCACTTCAAATGAGATTCTGAGATATGGTGCTTCTATGATGCTGCTGACATCTGAGTTTTTCCAGCAGTAATGCAGTTAATGGGACTTCCCCTCATAAATTTTGAGATAAGCAGAGGGAAAATTGCATAATTTGAGAAGTGCCCTGCAGGAGTGTGTAAAGGTCTCAGGTAAATGGGTTGTCTTGTGCTAGTCACCTGCCCTCCAAGTAGGTGCATGGATCAGCTGAGTGAGACACTGGAACAGAAACAAGCACAACTATTAAATGTTACCTTGTGAAATAATTGTTAGCCTACATGGTAGGACTTAAATGAGGATGTATGTTTGTATACAGCTATTCTAATAGGGATTACATCTGGTAGATAGAAGATCTGTTTGTGAAAACCAACGTGGTTTGCCTGTATTTACCTCTATCATCTGATGTTCGTTCTTCAGCAATTTAGGGTTTGATACAGTCCTAGTTGGGTGTCTCTTAAAGGTGCATATAGCATAACCTTACCATGAGAATGAATACCTTACTGGACATTTATTGCCTTTATAATTTGTACTCCTTTCAAAACCCGTATATGAAGTTTTTTCATAAAAGTAGATCATTTTACCTATTCCTTCTTATTGGAACCAAGGTGTTAAAATAAAATGCAAAATACAGCTAATGGGAACGATGAGTGAGAGCTTAGGAGGTAGGTTTACTTTGGCTTAATTCTTAATTGCAGAGGAAAAAAGCTGAAATATTTGTTTATAGCAAGCAATACTTTTTGGTGTGTGAGTGAGCAAGAGGGAACATTACCTTTTTCCAGATGATGTGAGTGTCCTTTTGGGACTGGGAAGACCTAAACCAAGTTCAGTTCCAGTCCCTGCTCCAAGAGCTCCTTTATGCAGCTTGCATTACACTTGCATTTCCCCTTTTTAAGTAAGTGTTTTTATTAACAGGCTTGCAAAGGCATCCTACAGTTTTATTTCTTCTTGCTTCCACCTACAAATGTTACAAGTTTGGCTGCAGAATAATGAATTGCCTACGCAGTTCTGTAGTGTTGACTGCTGACTAAGGGGTTTTATAGGAGGTGACTGTTGTGTAAATTCACTTAGGCTGGAGAGGATATAAAATAAATGTATCTTTAATTTCCTGCATCATTTTTTTTAACCTCTAGGTTTCATGTAATATGGAACATCCAATTTTCTGGCTTTTGTTGAACCTTGTACTAAGCAGGAGATTTGCTCTGACTCACTCAGGTTTAAGCATGGGTGTCTCATGCAGGGATCACAAGCAGCAGCATGCACCAAGATGCTTGCATCAGATAATGTAGCAGTCAGTGCACTTATGCAGAAATAATATCAAAATAACATACTATTTTTTTAAAAAATGGCAAGAGAGGCAGGATGGGGAGGAAGAGTGTGATGCTTACTTTTTGGTATAGTGGAAATCTATCCTGTGCTTTCAGGATAGCATCAAAACCCCTTTGACTTCCTTAAGTTGCTGTATTACGATATTGTAAAAATAAATATAATGCAAAAAGGCCCGTGACTTGATAGATGTTACAAATAGAAAAGGAAAATAGTTCTTCCAGAGGACAATGATCATTGCGTTAGCTGTGTCACTTTGCTTCTAAAATCCCATTACACTGGGCTCATGAAAAGGAGGGTGGAACACTCCATTATATAAAACTTACAGTCCAGAGATAAGAGGGGCACAAACAAATGGAATATCAGGAAATAGCTGACGAGTGTTGGCTGGAGCACCAATGTCCAGCTGTTCACATTTTTAGAAAGGCATTGTAGTAAATGGAAATTAGGAAGATGCTTTGCAGATGTTTACAGTGAAATCTTTCCAAGTACAAGGAGGTGAGTGTGAGGTTTACTTCAATGCAGTGAGCAGCAGAGGTTCTGACTTTTTTTACAGTATAAAGTAGCTCTTGATCAGAAAAATAAGCTGCCCATTTACTCATTGTTTTGTATGTTGTGCAAGTAGAAGTGTTCAGCAGACAGAACTTGTTTTCATGCTGCCCTTTGTAACAGAAGTGCTAGTGAGCAGGCATATAGAGGAGTAGTTTCTGGGTGCACACAAACTGTGTGCAGTTTAAGATGCTTAAGGTTTTGATTGTTTTAAACTGCTAAACTAATGTGGAATTGCATAGCACTTTTGTCTCAAAGCTTTGACCCGATTTGCAGATTTGAAATCTTAATTTGCATATGCAGAAAATGAAGTAGAAACTTCCAGTGTCTTTTGGAAGAAACAGCACAGTAGCTTGAAAACCTTGTGATAAACTATTTTTAAGCACATTACTTGAATCACCACAGAATCTGGAAAAGAGCTTTAGAGCTTTTGACTTGTGTATTTTTTAGAGGAAAACTAGTGATGGTTGTCTTAATAGTACAATACAGTTATGGCTGTAAGATAGAATCCAGCTTTTCAGATGAACATTTAATACTTAGGGGATTATTCTTTCCTTCTCTGCCATTCCAAGCTTTGCTTATGACTCATTTTTCAAGTTTTGCCACAACAGAGGCAAGGATCCTACAGGCAAGTTCCCTTCACTGATTCACAATAGTCTGTTTTCAACACTGAAATAGCAGTCTAGCAGACAAAAATAGGTACTCCAGTCATGAGAGACATAATACATATGCTCAAGGAAAGATGAGTTTAAGTTATGTAGCCAACTGTAATTTTAGAATTTCACACATTCTATAATTTTTACAACACTTCTATAAGATGTAATATTTTCAAGTATCTGTAGATTTTGACAACTTGGCAGGAATTAAATCTTTGGCTGTTCTTTGTTGAACCACTTGGCTGCTGTGCAGTAGTTATTTCCTTTCCTCCAAGTCCCAAGGTCAGCAGATCTTGTGCAGTAAATCTTGAGGAGTAAAGGTTTGTAAGGCATATAGGTGACATGTTACCTTATACAGGTAGCAATGGTGGAAAAATGCCTCATTATACTAATATGATATAGTACTTACTGATAAATAACTGTTCCAATGAAAGAGAGACCCACATTTGCTGATAAACAATGAGCTCGTGCAGTTTAGAAATTAGATGCATTCATGCAAAAAAGGCATCTGGTACTATTGTGCTGATTTGTCAACGTGTTCTGTTACCCCTTTATAGGGTGAAATTTTGAATGTAAGGGAAAGAACTTGCCTATATGTAGCAGTTCTGTTAAATTATTAAGCATTGGTATGATTTTCCAATAGTTTATCTCTCATCTCTGGTAAGGTTAACTGTGGGCACTTAGAAAAAAGAGCTGTTTCTGCTTGAGAAAGATTATGAATTGCTTAGGCAATGATTTTCTTCCACAGATGTGTGCTAGGATTTCATCTTCTAAAACACCATGTGGGACTCTATAAATACTAGTTATTTAATATGTTAGTTATGTAAAATGATTTCTTGTTGCCATGGGAACATTGTATGAGTCTTTGCCTTTTAGCCCGAGGTGAGGTGCAGAAGTACCCACAACAAAGGATAAGCGCAGCCCCCAAGGCTGTTTGACTTCTGCTTTCAAGTTCCCTACGTGTAGGAGAGAACAAATTGCTGCTTCTCCACTTGTTTTGAGAAGTTTCCACTGTATCTACCTCTCTCTCCCTTAGTGGGCTCTGTTGGCAATTTGCTCTTAAAAACTTTGGATTGGTTTGCTCTGGGTAGAGTTCTTTCTGCCAGAGTTTTCATCTGGTGGTGAAGTTGCACCAGTACTTGATATTGTGTTCAGTTTTGGGCCTGTCACTACAAGAAAGACATTGGAGCCCTGGATAGTATCTGAAGAAGGGCAGTGAAGCTGTAAAGTGTCTGGAGCACAAGTCTTACGGGGAGCAACTGAGGGAGCTGGGACTGTCTGGTCTGGGGAAGAGGAGTCTTGGGGAAAACCTTAGGGCTCTCTAGGGCTGCCTGAAGGGAGGTTGTGGCAAGGTGGTGGTTGGCTCTTCTCCCAGGTAATACAGATAGGATGAGTGTAATGGCTTTGAGTTGCTCCAGGGGAGGCTCAGATTGGATAATAGAAAACATTTCTTCTCGAAAAGAGTAGCAAGGTACAGGCTGCCCTGGGAGGTGGTAGAGTCACTGTCCCTGGAGGTGTTCAAGAACCATGGAGATGTGGCACTGAGGGATATGGTGAGTGAACATGGCAGCGATGGGCTGGTGGTTGGAATTAATGATCTTAATGGTGTTTTCAAACCTTAACAATTCAATGATTCTGTGAAATCCATGTGTCTTGGGTTTGGCCTGGTGGTCTTCCAGGTCCTTGCCAGTTCTGTTTCTGGCAGCAAGCACGTGTTATGATATTGGGTACTAGGTCAGAAAGTTTAAAATGGGGGACGTATGTGTAGAGCAGGGTGATGAATAACATGTACCATGTTCAAAATGAAGAACTAGAATACGGCTTCAGTCTTTTTGATTAACTATTTTCTTCTGCTTACTGTTTTCTTTCCAAAATAAGTTTTACATGGTTAAACTGAGATAAAATCAAACCTGCATTACTGTACACCATGGTTTGTTGATTTTAAGAAACACTAGTATTGAAGTATCTGAAGAACTATTAAATTTCAGTTTCTAGATTTCAAGTTGCATTTGAATATGAAGGATTTCCTGAGTATTTTCTTAAAAGAAATGAGCAAGTAGGAAGGCTGTTCTTGCAATATACATTGCTCTTTATCACTCCATGACACACACACACACATATATATTTATGTAACCAAAAGCATCTTGCAGTTGGCCCCCAACTGAAAAGCTCTTGCACATTTGTGTTGTGTGAATTGCTTTTCTACTCGTTTTCCTGACATATCATGATTATATGTAATTCTTGACCTACATGCACACTCATAGAAAATTGTGCTTTTTCTTGTCTCCTCCAGCCAATACCAAAGCTCGCAGTAATGACTTTGCTGAAAAGAATGGACTTCGAAAATATGAGTATGTCTTACATCCACGGACTACAGGATTCACTTTTGTGGTGGAATGTCTAAGGGAAGGTAATCCTGATCTCCATTTCTACATACGTTTTTGTTTTTGAATATGCCTACTCTCCCCAGAATGGTAAAGTCAGTCTTCACAAAGCTTGAAGTCTTTCCAGAGATACTTTATGTATACTGATTACCAAAAAGGTCTTGCTTGCTGTTGTACTTAGAATGACTGCAACATGGATAGATTTGAGAGAGTTGATATGGGATACTGAAGAGGTGTAATGAATGAGAACAACATTTTTGCATTTTTTTTCAAATTCTGTAGCTTGCTTGTCAGTCTACTTCAGGAAAATAGTGGAAAAGGTCCCAAGGAATTTCAACCTTATTGTCTGTACCAGTCCTTAGCCTTCATGGGGTTGACACTGAACACACAGACATGTATTACTGTCCTCTCTCAAAAGCTTCCAGGTTCAGCTGTGAAAAAATTGCTGTGTTCAGTGGACATGGGAAATGCTGAGCAACATGCAGACGCAGCAGATCGGCTGCCCAGTGTTGTCAGCTTTTCCAGGCAGTGCTGATTTGGAGAAACTGTGTAAAACATGAGTTATGTTGCTTGGCATGTCAGTGGGTGAGAGAACATGTGGTGCTCGCTTTTTAACTAGCAATGATCTTCCATTCCTGTATTAATCTGGTGTTAAGAGACTGATTCTGTATTGTCAGGGGAACAGAGTATAGAGATGCGATTGCTTGTTAGAATGAAACATCTGGGGGATGTTGTGGAAATGGGCATTTTGATGAGATTTCTGCCAGGCTTTAGGCCATAATGGTGTAATTGTTGTAATAATACTGATATGGCAGTGATTCAAATGCAAATGAGTGAATGTTCTCAGGATGTATGAATGTATGATTGAAGAAAATAAACGTGTACAGTAAATGTAAAGTGACTTATTTATAGGCTAGTTCTTCTGGAATAAGCAATTCCAGATCTTTAACACATGTTGGTTATTCTGTTTGCCAAAGGGAGAAGTTTGAGATTATTAAAAAGAATGAGGTCCTGATGGTAGTTTTTTTTTTCCTTGCTGGAATCCTTGCTAGAAACAGAGCTGACTTGTGTTTTGCCTGATTCCTACTTGAGCAGAAGCAATAAAAACACTGTTAATATTCGATAAATTGGATATCTTCATAATGGATTGTGTATCTACATGGCCATATATTTATCCAGCAGTCTGTGGTGGACATCTTAGATTTTCACATATCTTGAAAGTTTATTATTCATTTTGCTATAGTGAAAAATCATACGTGAAATTTCAAAATGTGTTTTATTTAAAACTTTTCAACAGTAGGTTAACCTAGTGCATAATGGTAATTCTAGCCTGGAATAAATTTTCAGTTAAAGAAACGTTCTCAACCTGGAATGTTATCAGCTTAACAAATAAGAGATTCTGTAATTACCTCAAAAATGAGTTTCATAGTTCATTTTCTAATTTTTGTCTCTTGTACTCTTTTATAAAAGATCTATGCAAATTAGATAGGTGTTGGTTTATAATAATGGAAATATTTAAAGGCAATTAGCTAATTTTACACAGCATCAAGGTAGGGAAAAAAACAAAAAACATTTCTAGATTTTTTTTTTAAGCTTTCAGATGCTTTAAGTCCTACTTTTATTTAAGGCAGGCAGATATTATGTGAAATATTAATGTCCCTCTGGCGTTTGGTACATTGCTAGGCATTGTATGCTATGTACACAATGACTGTAGGTTTTTATGTAGTATTGTATGTGTGAGAAGGTAGTTCAACTAGCATTTTCAAATACTAAATTATTACTTCCTCGTGTAAGACTTTTTCTATTGTTGCAAATGTGCTAAATATGGAACATCTGTGTGGAAATATTTTTATGGACAGCCAACCTGTAGCTGGTTTATGAGAGCATTGCAGAATATTACATATCTGCATGCCTTCATCATTTTGTATGTGAAATATTGATGTCTGGGTGGATTTTCAGATCCAAATGGCACATTTGATACCAAACATTATCATGCAGCTCTGGTTTGACTCATTTGTACTATTTTCTTACAACTCCAATTTCTGATACCAGCAATAATAAGGAAAACCAGGAGTGGTAAGGATGGTGTTAACACTGTGTCCATGTCTCAGGAATGTCATTGTGTTACAGTAGTACCAGTAATTATAAAAGTAGTGTCATTTCCTTTTTACTGGTTGTAATGGCCAGCAGAAGGTGGTGTATGTGACTTTAACGCTGAGGAGGGAGTGGTGATGACTTTAACATCATATTTACATGTTTGGAAGTGTCTTTATGCGTAGATGACAACCTTACTGCCCTACAGCTCTTCTGTGAATACATCTGGCTCGTGGCTGTTTTCCATTCCCAAAGCTCAAGTGTCTACTTCAGGCCTTTAGTCCCAAAATAGGCTGATGAAGTGAGGGGGAAAAATGTCATTAGTAGTTTAACTGCATTTTGAATGTTGAAAGAAACTATAATTATGCAAGAACACTGATTAATATGCATCACGAGCTATAGCATGAAAGAATTACCTGTTATTACATAAAATAAGTGACCCATCTGAATAGGAAATGAAAAAATAACCTTCAGCTAAACATTGCTTGTATCTTTACGGGAGAGTTTCTTCCTGGAGGAGGCACTATCTGCATGCTGACAGTGTAATCCTAGCAGTGACCAGTCCTTGGCATTCCATAGGTAGCACAAGCCCCCCCCCGAACCACCTGAATGGATTTTTGTCTGTGATGACCAGCACACAAATTCCTATGACCACCTTCTCGCTCTTACATGGTCATTAGTTCAACTACTTGATCTCTTTTGCCCAGAGATGCTGCTAAGGTGATTGACAAGTCATTTGTAAGTTTAAAGAAGCTTAAAAAAAACCCACAGATCTGTTTACCCTCTACCAAACAGGCTGGCAGTAAAAATAGTTCAGGCAGTACATTTCTTCCTTGGCTTTTGACTCCCTCTTTTTCATTTATTTGCTTCCCCCCCACCCCACTATATCCTAGCTCTCTGTGAGTGGTAGTGCTTACCCCCCTGCACTAAATCTTTTAAACAGAAACCCAGGTAAAAGCTGACTGTATTTTCCTTTGTGCTCGGGTGCCACAATAGTGAAAATACATGCAAGTAATAATCATACTACAATTTTTCACTGATACAAACCAAAGAACCACCCAAGAGTGAGCAGAGATGATGAACATGCTTTAGATGGGTAATTAATAATGTACTGAGTAGAACAAGCACTACAGTTGTTGCTGTTTTTTGAGCAAGAGAAAGACATAATTTTAATTCAGCATTGTTTTGTTTTGTTTTTTAGAAGTGTGTTCCTTTGGCTCAATAGTAAATTTAAATAGGGTGAATTAGTGTGGCGTTGTTTGTGTGTGGTAAGAGAAAATGCACTATGGACATGTGAAGATGAAGAGTAAAAAGACCACATGGTTGTTGCATAAGGACAGCTTGCCACCTGATAATGCAGTGTAGTAGCGTGGTACTTGAAGATGTAGGAGGTGAATAAGAGAGGAAAAGAAATTTCAGTGAAGACTAATAAAGATGGAGAGGCATTAAATACACCTAGGCTAAATATAGATTAACAAAATATATGCATTTTTCACCCCTGCAAGGTGTTCCTTCATGGGAACAGTTATTGAATTTCTATTTGCAGGTTTGTGAGCTACTTCATTAATCTTTACTGATGCACGTTGCTCAGAATAGTGCCAGCCTTTTTTTTCCTTCTGTGCTTCTCTGTCCTTTGTCTATCAAAAAACTTAAAATTTATGAACTCTCTGAATTCTACACTTTGTCAGCACTGAAGCCCGTTAGTTTGGTTGTCATGGCAGCCAGAGGAATTATCCTGTGGAAGACCAAAGCTTGTTTGACCAAAGTGACTTTTGCAATCCCATATACTTTATTCACATCAGCTTAGTTGGCTATTGATAGAAAGCAGAGAGAAATGAAATAGTTGCTTTGCTGCTTTCCAACTCTTTTCACATGATTAAGTGTATCATTTGTCTTGCCTCAGCTGTTATGAATCCTAGTTTCAATGAGCACCTGGTGAAAAATTATTAGTGCTTTCCACTATATTTCCTTGGATAACAAAGGGGAACATTTCTGGAAAGACAGTCACAGCATGTTTTGATATGAATAAGCAGTGAAAAATGAACTCTATACACCAAAATGAAGATTGGTCATAATTTTATATAATAAAATAAATAATTGTTATATACCACTCTTTAATGGTCACCTTAATTCATATCAGATCCTTTCAAGCTTCAGCCTTGGAATAGATGCCATGTGTGGAGTCATTTTTGGCAGAGCTCAGCTTAATGGAAATCATCCCCTTTTATAACCTGTGCAATCTTGAAAATGACAGAAATAAGCAGGAATTCAAATAAGACGTTTATAAAGCATTCCTTTAACAAAGTTAATGAAAAACATTTCTGGTTTATATAATACTTGTGATGATCTGGTTTGTCAGAGATCAGAGATCCTTCTCTGAAAGGTCAGGAAGTTACCCAGAAATTGAGTGTAGGTTTTCAGGCTCGTTGCATTTTATAAACTTTTCCTGAAGTGCCAAATGACACTGAATGTTCAGTTTCAAAAGGGTGGGAAATAATCCCAGTTGATTTGATTCAGTATGGAATGAATTCATTGAATTACACATTATCTTGACATAATATCTGCAGTTGAAGTCAATCTGTCAGGAGAAAATAGTCGTTGATAAATGTTTTCTTAAAATTGCTTCTTGGCTTTGAAGTATTTTCACAGGACTGTATAAACAGTACATGTGAAGACAGAACGAAGGTTTTAAAGCATCATTACAAGGCTGTTCATACTCTCGGAGGCAGTAATTTCTGTCAACACTAAGTTTGAACTGACCTCTTTTTGACACTTTCTGTATATCCATCACCAGCCTTTAATACCTGGATACATTGGGCTGTGTGTTCCTATAAGAGGGTTCACATTTCACTGGTTTTACAGTATGACAGTGTCAGAAGTATTTGGATTATTATAGTACTTTGTTCAGCTTCAAATTTATTTTTGGGTCATA